GGTGTACATCTGGGCAAAAAGTGAGACTCTATCTCAAAATAACCAGTGAAAGAAAGGGCTCCAGGTACTCAGCAGAGTACTAGGTACTAGAGTACCTAGTTAGTAAGCCCGATGCCCTGAGTCCAAACCATTACAGAAACAAAACCAAAAATCCTGCCAAAAACGTTAAAAATAAAGGACCCTGTATCTAAAATCAAACCAAAAGTGTTGGAAAGGAAAATTAATGGCTATTACAATATATGATTAAAGATACAAGAAATGTAAATAAAATCATATTGCAAATAAAGTCTTAGCTTATTCTAAAAATAGCAAACATGTCTATGGATAGAAGGTTCTACGATAAAGCATGTAAGCCTAACATGACCCTAAGTTTGACCCCCAGCACTGCAAACAAAACAAACAAAAAAAAATTTAAAAACTTACACTTTCACTGAGATTAAATGGAAATTACTTGAATGGATTAAGATTTGACAGAGAAAAGAAAACTTTAAAAAACAGCTATCACCTCAAAATATATAGAAATAGAATTTCATAAAATGTAATACATAGTGATCAAAAAGAAAAAAGACAAGAAATGAATTTCTTTATCTTGAATAATCTACCAAAACAGTAAAACCAATACTTGATGGTGAAATACTGTAAGCATTCTCTTTAAAGTCACAAAAAACCCTATTTCCAATGGAAATTTTTGTGAAATTTTATTAGTTGATTTTAAAATTCATAAGAATAACTGGTCAAGATTCTGAAATAATTCAGAATTTAGTCTTATTAAATATCAAACTTCTTGTAAAGTTATGATGACCAAAGGAGAGTAGGACAGAAACAAAAAAAAATAGCTGGATGTATTTATATATCCATTGAGAGAAGGGTTACTACAAGTCAGCAGGGATGAAGTGGGAAGGATGTTGAGACTGTTTACCCATACATCAAGAGATATATTTAGATTCCAACCTCACACTCTAAGCAAAAATAACTTCCAGGTGGATTAAAAGACTAAAGGATTAAATGAAAACCTTAAAAGCTTTAAGAGAATAAACAAAAATCTATCATGTTCTAAAAAAGCAAAACTCAGATTCTTCAACTTATTAAAATGCCAAAGCCTAGGAGAAAATACCCACAACCTCCAAATAACCAGAAAATACAAGGAGCACTTCCAAATCATGAGGAATCTTGGAAGGATTCCAACACAATCCATGTAACTCAAAAAGAAATCTAACAACAAATGTCAGGAGATGAAATAGTACTCAACCTTAACAGACATCAAGGAAATAATTTTAGGAATAATGAGGCATTCTTTCAGTCATTCAGTTGAAAAACAAATAAAACATTCCAAGTCTGAGTGCAGATACAGGCACATAAGCACTCTGTCAGAGTGCACATGTAAACTGACAGAACCATTTTGAGAGTAATTTGGCAATGGCAAAGAGAGCCTCCCAATGACCAGCAATTCATTCCTAAGAGTCTATGAAGAGAAACTTGAGAGTCATATGCAAAGAGATCCAAATAAAGACACTTCTTACTCTATGTGTACACGCAAAAAAGAAAGAATTTCTAAGTGGGAAACTGTGATCATTAGGTTTTTTAAATACAGTGCCTAAATTAACTACAATCAACTCATACTATACTGTTGAAATAACTAGTTCTATACAGAAACAAAATTTTGAAACAGTTCTGAGCAAAAAAGTTACAAATTGATACCTATAATTTGATAATATCTAAGTTCTTAAACATACTAAATTGCTATGGGTATACATGTATTTAATAAAAGGAAACCATGCTTTTGTGCAAAACTTTACTAATGGCAAGGGGGGATGATGTGGTTTCAATGTATCTGTAATGGCTCATTTCAGAGAAAAAGGAAGCTGAAAAGGAATATTAAAACCTGTTTATCTTTGTAGTGGACAGGCATATTTGTTTCAGTAGTTTAATTACATTTGCATGGTTTTATAAGAAATTTGAAGTAAACTTGTTATATTCCTACCCTAAAAGCCATTAGCAGATACTTAAAAAAGAGGAAACTATGATCCCTGTTCTACTTCCCACATTTAGCTAATGTTAATGTTTACTGATTTTCTTTAAATATAATGAAACATAGGTAATTTTTTTTCTGAGTATTGTGTTAGCATCTTTTACTTTGCTCTTCATATATTACTGGCATATTTCCTTGTCATTATTACAAACACCAAAGATACACATACAGGTGACTTTTTAAAAAATTAACCACTAAGGTTGTCATTTAAATGAAGCACCTTTATCCTACCTGTGAATGCACCTGTTACTAACAGCTTCCCATTAGGTCCAGAAAGTATTTTGTATTTAGCAGAATGGCGTACCACTGTGGTACCACCAGGTGGCATAGCTCTCCAACTGTAATCTGTAGCATGAGTTATGTGGTAGATAATAAATTTGATCGCAACATATAAAAAAATCATATTAAATTGCAAATCAACTCTTTTCACACTTAAAATACAGATTACTCAATATACTACAATCGTTAAAACTTAGACCAGGTATTCACATTAATTTTAATGAGCGCATGGATATTTATGCTTGCATAAAACATGGTGTGTTTTTTTTTTAATACAAATAAAGGCAAAGAGAAAAAAATAGTTAATTTATAGAATGGAACTTCAAGTATATTTCTGATTCTGAATAAATTAGGTACTTAAAAGAAAAATTAAAATCTTCCAAATCTATAGTTTACAAAGGAGTGCATGTATTATCTCTCAGGGTAGTACTTGAAAAGCTGAACAGCATGTATTTCAAATGAACAAACACAAATGACAGCACTCACACTGCAGAGCCAGCCAGGATCTACATGTAACTTAGCAACTATCACTACCTTGCAGCATGGGTAAGGGAGATGAGTGAGGACACACACTTCTAGTGATCACTGCACTTACAATCTGCCTACTCCGCTCACCTTCTTGGAGAGTTTACTGCCTCCTCTCTTTCCTGGTCCTGTAGGTGGGTCTTTAAGCCAGAGACTTAAAACCAGAAATGATACAGTGTAGTTACTGACTAATAATTAATTGGCAAATTGAGGGCTTTATTTCACAAAATGTTTTATAAAGTTAGAAATGTTTCTAAATCCTCACATCAGGAATTCCTTAACAGTTGGAAAGAAAATTTCAAAACAAAAACTATTCATGTATCACATTTTGATTGGTCTCAAAAACTAAAATTTCTGTGTACATTTTCAACCAACCAAATACTGGAGGACAGCATTTATTTTAGCTCCATTCTTTGGAACCTTGCTCTATCTACATTATAAAAAGTCACAAATATTGGGAAAACGGGCAAGTAGGCAATAACAAAGCCGAAGAATTTTTCAAATGATTTCTACTATACATTCACAACTGCAGTTAGGGGTAGCTCGGTGGAAGAGCACCTGGGTATGAAGTAGAAGACCCTGAGTTCAAATACTAGTACCACCAAAAAGTAAAATACTTAAAAAAAATTTTTTTGCATAAAGTCCAAGCTAATATCTTTACATTTCACCTCCCCACATATTTTCACAATATAAAAAATTTTCAAACCACAGTGCACAGTTAAGTAATACTGCACAGGAAAAAGAAGTATCTTTAAAAAGGAGTTCAGCCAGGCGCCGGTGGCTCACGCCTGTAAATCCTAACTACTAAGGAAGCTGAGATCTGAGGATCACGGTTCAAAGCCAGCCAGGGCAGGAAAGTCCGTGAGACTCTTATCTCCAATAAACAACTAGAAAACCGGAAGTGGCACTGTGGCTCAAGCAGTAGAGCGCTGGCCTTGAGCTGAAGAGCGCAGGGAAAGCACCCAAGGCCAGAATTCAAGCCCCACAACCAGAAAAAAAAAAAAAAAAAAAAAGAAAAAGAGTTCAATTTTCTACTAATAGAATTATAGCAAAGTGTACTAGTGCATGCCTACTAGTGAAAGCAGGAGCACCGAGTTCAAAGCCAGTCCAGGTTGCAGATGAAGACCTCCGCCACCCCTGAAATACATGTACGCATGTTTATTTACATATGTACATACAAACATTTATTTATGTGTGTATATATACATATGTATGCGTATGCCACAGTATACAGATATGTATACATGTATTTGTATTAAATATATACTGTTCATTTAAATACAAAATACAAATGTTACATATTTTAAGTACCTATAATAACAGAGCAGGGTAATACTCTTTCAATGAAAGAACAAAATTTTTAAAGCAAAACAAAATACAAAAAAAATGATTACAAGTAGTACAGTTTTTAAAATACATCACAAACTGACTCAAAATTAATAGCTGGTTAACAGAAGAGCTAGGATTCAAACTCAGGTTTCCAAGACCTTCCCTAATTTAATTATTTTTCTTCCAGTACCAAAGTTTGAACTCAGGGTTTCATGATTTCTCAGTTTGTTTTGCTCAGCTGGTACTCCACCACTTGAGCCACACCACATCTATACCTGGCTTCTTATGGGTTATTTTTGTAAATGGCGTTTTCACAGCCTTTTCTGCCCAGGCTGGCTTTGAAATGCAATGCATTGGCTCTAAGCCTCCTGAGTAGCAAGGATTACAGGGTGAGTCACAACCACAGGCACCTTCTCTTACCTTTTATTTTTACTGTAAATTGTTTTTAATATGACTCTTCATTTCAATTATAAAGAATTTTTTAAAAACTAAGCCCTATATTTTAAACTTGTTGAGTACAATGAGTTATATGTAACAGTTGCTCAAATAAATATTTGTGATCAAATAAGCAAGTGAAACAAGCACTCACTTCTGAATAATCTATAAAATATGTAAATACACAAATATAAAAATATTGTTAATATACTTGCATAAAAAATATACACACACCACATGCACAATTCTTAAACAGTAAACAATTAAATTATTAACAACAAATTGGAGAAAAAGAAGAATGAAAGTATCTGTGTCACACATTTCAAAGTACGTAATTCCTCAAAAGACATGATAGGGAGTTTCTTTAAAAACCATACTACTTTTTGCTGAAGTGATTACTTACCAGGAAATTGAGACACTATTGGGGGTGTGTCTTCATCTAAGTCATCTACCCCCCCAGCAATTGGGTAGGGTGGAATGGAGACTCTGGGCATCACTACCCAGCTGTGATCTGAATAAAGGGAAGACGTCAGGCTGGGGAGTCCCGAGTTATGGGCTATCTGAAAACCACAGATCTTCTCAATCTGTTGCCAGCGAAAAAGACGTTCTCGTAAACAAGTTGTCAACTCTGAGAGAGCTTTCCTAAAAAATCAGTGCAGGAATTACTTGTTGGATCAAAGAGGCTTTGAAAAACAGCAATCAATTGCATCAATAGCTAATGACCAAATTTTAAAATTAGCTTAAATTATGTAATTTTGTATGATTAATATGTGATTTAAATATACATTTTCTGAAAAGTATGTATTTTAAAACAATAGTAAATATCCAGAAGGATATAACATTCTTACTTTGCTTCCAGAATTTTATGGTCTACTTCATCTAGGGAGGAGCTATGTGCCACATGCAGAGTCCCAAAGACTGTGCTTCTCTTCTTTTTAATTTTTTCTGCCTAAAAAACCAAAGAAGCAAAAATAATAAAGCTATGTTTACCAAAACAAAACATATATTTGTTAATGAAGTTGATTTTGGTTCTGAGTATATTAATAATCATAAACCAAGATTATTAGCCAAGATATAGCCTTGTTTTCCAAAAAGAAAATATAAGAAAAAGCATGCTTTCCTAAGCTAACCAATGTAATCAAAACTTGGTTCTGCAGAAGTTTTTTCATTTCTATGGTTCAGAGAAGACCTGAATCTTCTATTAACACTAATAGAAAACTATTAACTACATCATACTACTTGAGATGTTAGTGAGTGAACTGAGCATTTTTTGTTGAGAATTCAGATTAAGACTTACTCTTATTTCACACAGTAAGTGCAAACATTAATTTCTAGTAACTACTAACCTGAATCAGATAGGAAGCAGCAACCTAGAGGAGAAAAGCTCTGTATAAAACATTTAAGAAATGATGATAATGATAACTTTGAAAGTACACCAAGGTTATCTTGAAAGCTATATATACACTTGTCTACATAGAGTGATTTTACTTTAATGCCTGTAATTCCAAGAATCAATTTACACAATAAACTCTAACTCAAGAAAACAATCAACTTTTATTCAGTTCTTTTTTTATCTAAGTTGATTAGTATCACTAGGATATAGCCTAAGAAACAAATTTAGTAAACTTTGAAACAAACAAACAAAAAAAGAGTACCTCATCCTTAGCAATAGCTAACTGCATTTCAGCATTCTGTCTTTTGATGTTGTAGTACTGAACTTCTACTTCATGTGTTAATTGAAGCCATTTTTGAAGAGCATCTGGGACAGACCAGCTGCTCCGCAGTTCAAATTCTTTTTCAGCCTTTTTTAGAGCCATTCGAACCTTGAAGAGAAAGCACGAAAGAGAACAGATTAAAGTATTTTATAGTAAACAGTACTAAAACAAAAACAATTTTATTTACATTCTTTACAAATAACTTTTTAAATCCTTGTCTAAATATACTCTATCTCTCACAAACTAAAGCTGAAGTCTTAAGTGCATCTTAAATTCACTAAACAAAACTGTGAAGCCAGAGAAGGCATATACATGTGTACATATATACACATATGTATATGTATGTATGTGTAAATGTATGTGCATGTATACACATGTGTATATGTATGTGTGTGTTATATGTGTGTATATATGTGTGTACATATATATCTTTAGCTACAACATTTAGTTTTTCTATTTCATAGTTTAAAGTTCACCTGAACAAAAATTCATGACATATATGCAAATTAAAACTGATCATATTTTCCCATAAGAAATATTTTTGTGTATAAACTAGGGTATGAAGATATATGCAAAATCAGATGGATACATGTTATATTATGTCTTCTAATGTTCCCAGAAAACTCTATTTAGTTACTTAACTATACACTCATTTTTAAAGTAATTATTATTTATACTTTTTTCTTTAGTTTTTCTAAAATATTTTATTTTTTGTATCAGTCTTGGCGCTTGAACTCAGAACCTAGGTGCTGTCCCTTAGCTTTTTCACTCAAGGCTAGTACTCTACCACTTGAGCCACAGCTTTATTTCCAGCTCTTTTGTTAGTTAACTGTACATAAGAGTCTTACAGACTTTCTTGCTCCAGCTGGTTTTGAACCACAATCCTCTGATCCCAGTCTCCTGTGTAGCTATGATTACAGGCATGAGCCATCAACACTCAACTGTAAAGGAGTTACTTCTCTTTAATACTTGCCTATTTTAGTCTACTTTATCTCTTCTACTTAATTTACTATTTCTAACATACTGGCAAGTAGAGAGCAAGCATCTGTAGATCACGTGCAAATTTCAAAGGAATGGATTCTGATTGAGAATCTTGCTTGGTTTTCTTCCTTGAGAAACTATACTATACATACCCTTCAGCATAAAGATGTATCTTGCCCTCCCAGCTTTTAGAGGAGGGAAGGAGGAAGGGAAGCAGGGAGGTTCCATTTTTGGAATAATTAAGTTAAAAACCATCAAGAGGGCTGGGAAGGTGGCTCAGTGGTAGAGCGCTTTCCTTGCATGCTCGAGGCCCTGGGTTCGATTCCTTAGCACCACATAAGCAAAAAGAAAAAAGCCGGAAGTGGCGCTGTGGCTCAAGTGGTAGAGCGCTAGCCTTGAGCTGAAGAGCCCAGGCCCAGAGTTCAGGCCCCACTACCGGACCCCAAAAAAAAAAAAACCATCAAGAATGCAATCTAAAGATGTATGATGACACATGGTAGAATTTGGACAATATAGAATTTTTATGCTTAATTCAAGAACTTCAAAGCTATGAGTGAACTACAGAGCTTCCTCTCACTAATGCACAGTAACTGCAGTTAACTGCTTTTTAAGCTAAGGCTAACTAAGGTAACACTATTCCTAAACTAAAGTGCAAAGGAATGTTTGACCTGAACAAACCCAGCTTATTTAAATAAACTGTATCATGTGCCAGAATAAACTAAGAAGAGGACTATACACAAACTTCTGATAAAGAAACAGAACAGCTGTCAGATACTGTGGAGAAAGAATTATGCAGAAAAACATTTCTTTTTTTAGATTTTCTTGTATACTATCTTTTTAAACTCCAAAGGTTTTTAAAATAATCACAATACTAAACCATTCAAAATGAGAAAATAGAAACAATCTCCTGTATATAAATATATATAATATATATAATAAATAATTTTTAAGAGAAACATTAAAATAAGACTTCCTTGAAAGAAGCAAATTCTAGGCAATGCCTGCCTGGCTTAAGTCATTGTGCATCTGCCTGGCACAAGTCCCTCTGCAATGTATGTGGGGGGCCGAACGGTTTAACAAGACAGTTGGGTAAGCTGTGTGGCCATCCTTACTAAACTCTCAGGAAGAGAGAATTTTGCCACCTTTATTCTGTGAAATGCAGTTCCCCATAACACTACAAAGTGTACACTGGCAAGTTCTTTTTCTCATAAAACTCTAAAACTAAACCTTTTACACAATTTTCATTTCTAAGGTAGTATACAGAGAATCTCTATAATATGATTATAAAGAATAACTTCAGTGAAAACCTTGTAGGAAAAATGAATTCAGTAAATAGTTTCTATGTTAAATGTGTTCTTAGTGACTTTAGATTGTTCTTAATAACATTTCCATAAATTTATTCCCCCTAAAAACTCAACACATGCACATTTAACATAAATCTATTATTTGACCCAAGTTCCAATCCTTACTTTGAAATTACATTGTTATTTGTGAGACTGGACAAAGTGAAATGGAGTAGTTAATAACTTTGTCAAATGATGATTTACTACTTAAAAATATAATTATAAGCCGGGCGCCAGTGGCTCACGCCTGCAATCCTAGCTACTCAGGACTGAGGATCACGGTTCAAAGCCAGCCCGAGCAGGAAAGTCCCTGAGACTCTTATCTCCAGTAAACTACTAGAAAACTGGAAGTGGCACTGTGGCTAAAGTGGTAGAGCACTCGCCTTGAGCTGAAGAGCTGAGGGATACTGCCCAAGTCTAGAGTTCAAGCCCCAGGACTGAGGGGGGGAAAAAAAAAAAAAAAATATATATATATATATATATATAATTATAATAATTTAGTATGTTAAAAATAAACAGCAATAAGTAACATTGTGTACCAGAAAGAAATATCTGAAAACCTGGCTTCTCCAACTTTATTATTTATTATCTCTGAAACCTTCAGTAAGTGTCTTTCCTCCTGAGCTTTATCATCTTATGTAGAATGTAGACTATCAGTTCTTGTCCTGACTAAAGTCTTTGAGAGTTTTTAAAGAACAAATTAAGTGGTATAAAAACTACTTAAATCAGCTGGGCACTGGTGGCTCACACCTGTAATCCTAGCTATTCAGGAGGCTGAGATCTGAGGATTGCAATTCAAAGCTAGCCCAGGCAGAAAAGTCCATGAGACTTTTATCTCCAATTAACCACTAGAAAACCAGAAGTGGCACTGTGGCTCAAGTGGTAGAGCCCTAGCCTTGTGCTCAAGAGCTGAAGGACAGCGCCCTGGCCCAGAGTTCAAGACCAATGACCAACAAAAACAAAACAAAACAAAACAAAAAACCTACTTAATTCACAAAAAATAAAAAGTGTCATTATTAGTCATCAATTATCTTGGTTTTAGGGAAAATAATGTTACACAAAAAATATATATGTACCAGATTATCCTCTAGAACTTCAAGAAAATCAGTCTATGTCTATTTACATCAAGATTATTATAATTTTTATAGCAGGAGTAGAAAATGAACATATATATATATATATATATATATATATATATATATATATATATATATATAATTAAACTCTCTCAGAACCTTACCTGTCTTAAAAGACTGTTGAACGCCTGAATTTTTACTATATTCTATTTCTAGTAACAGAAAACAGATCATAGATAGGACATTTTTCAGACAGCTTTGAAGCTTAGCAGATTATGCTCTAAAACCATTTAAAAGAATCAAATAAATGGCTACCTAAGAAGAGATCTTTCACCTTTAGAAAAGTTCAACATTAGATGTACTTTACTAGGTGACATAAATTCAACATGTTACAGATGTCAAGTAAACATTTCAAATATACCAAAGCAAATTAATAACATGAAATTGGATTTCTCAAAATAATGAACATGATGATTATCATCTAGTTGCCACTCTGTTATTTTAATATATGGACTTTGATCAATGTTAACAATATAAACTAATGATTCGGTTATTCAGTTATACTGAGGAACAGTATACAATGGAACTGTAGATTGTGACCTAGCTCCTCAGAGTAGCAATTAAAATCCTAACAATCGCTTTTTACAAAGTGTAAGTACCTGCTCCAATTCCTGCTCTGCATACTGCCGTCTGCTCAGTTCACACTCAGCTCCCTCCCTGAGCTCTCTCAGCCGACAAGCCTCTTCCTTGGCGTAATTGATTTCATCCATCATTTTGCGCTCTAGATTTTGCTTTTCTACAGCAACATTTCTGTTTTCTTCCTGTGCTTTTTCAAGCCTTAGGAAACAACAAAAATTTAAATTTCTTATAAAAATTTCCAGAACTCCACTTTTGATGAAGGAAAAAGTATTGTCATGCAATTTAATACAGATTTTAATTACATTTCACGGTATTTTCTATTCATCTTAAACTTGGATTAAAAAAAATCAGGCAACCTACTATACAGTTATTTGGTTACTTTGGGCTCCAGACAGGAACAAGAGGAAAATACTCTCTGCAAAGGGACTTTTTAGAAATTCATCATTATTTAAATCAAACTAAAAATATAATCCTACTTATATTTTGATTTACTTCTTATTTCTAATAATACAAAATGAGAATATTTTATTTGTATATTAACCTATATGTATTTATATACATGCTTACATTATGTTTTTTACAAACTGCTTTCCCTATATAAACAAGAGTTTATAATTTACCTCTCTTGTAAGTCCATAAGACTTTGTTCTGCAGTTTGTAGACTCTCTAAGTCTTTCATCATTTTTGCAACATGTTCTTTTGATGTTTTATTCTGTGTATAAGCAAACCAGCATCCTCCAACACCAATTAGAATAGAAACTGTAAGAATAAAATCCTTCATCCAGTTATGAGGTGGGCCTATAAAGAAAATTACATATAATTACTATATTAGTATAACATGGTTTAAATATATAGGCATTTAAAAAACTAGCAGATATCTAAAAGCATTTAAAAAAATCTTTCCCATATACAAATTCTACTCTTGTAAGATTTCTATTTGCAGATACTCCTATGCTTATTAGCTTACCTGTTATACTGAATCTTCAGAAGGGCAAAGATAATGTACAAAGACACACCATGGCTCTACTTCAACTATGAGCCCTATTCTCTGACTCTGGTTGAAATAACAACCACTTTGGAATAACAACAAATAGATGGACATGTCCCAAACTCCATAGTAAGTACCACAAAGTGGAAAAGATAGAAGAAAAGGCTCCTTTTAAATGTATCTCTGCTAGCTTGACAACATGTTTTTATGAATCTAGCATAGGTATCTGATCATGGTTCTCATTCATTCAAATATTCCTAAACACATAAAAAGTAGTGCCTCATTAACTTCTCAACTGGCTTATTAAAATATTTGTCTATAACATCCTTTGAGACCAGTTTGATTCTTTTCAAATGACTTAAAAACATCATATTCTTTGAGTTAGAAAGCTGCTTGTTCTCAGATTAATAAAGGGGATATAAATATTCATGACCAAAGTACATATCGATACAAATTCTATTTCACTAAGCATTCACTTGAAAAAAATGAGAATGTCATCAAAGACAATCCCTCGGTAGACTCAGTGAGGAACTCAGGACAAAGAAAAAGGAAGTAAAATGATCCTATCTGTGGACCACTTGGCATTTAGCAGTGTTTCATTTCCTAGAGTTTGTAATTTCTACCAATTATCACAAAGGAGAGTTCCAGATGTTTCACCAGCTGCTCTCAGCCCAAGGCAAAAAACAACCACTAGTAAAAAGTCGTGGAAGCTCATCCACCAAAAGTTTTCACAAAAACCCCAAAATCTCCTAACTCCAGAATTCAAGTAGAATAAATATTGTCTTCCTACTCTGTCAAATGTGAAAGTCACTTGTACTATTTTTTATTCCTTTTTAGCTTCTAAAACAAAAACTGTAATTCCTATAAAGTGTATATTCTTCAAACATTTTCCTCCAAAAATTTCTGAAATGTGAAATTAAACCTCCTTCTGGAGAAAAATATTCCTGCCAAAGTAAAGAAATACAAGATTTATTTTCTTTACAAATATGACATCACACTTTCTTAAATGTTCCTCTTCAAAGTAATCAAACAGCTATATTCACCTTGTGCTCCTACCAGAATACTCTTCATGACACTTCCTCTAGGTCTTTGTTTTTGATATCTAAAAAAAAAATCCCTTTCTTGATGACTTCCTGTCATCAGGACAGTTAAATTGCTACATTTCTTACCTTCTTCAGTAAAAATCCAAGCATAATAACAATAATAGTAAAAGTATTGCAAAGATCAAGGTTTTAAATTTAGAAATTCTAAATTATCATACCTTAACAACTTTTTAGATTAGCAACTAGTTTTAGAAACCACATTGAATGTTTCAGGGGAAGAAAATTTCATCTTATAAATCTGTATTTCGAGACAGTATCACCATTCAAAAAGAAGTAGTCATTACCTTAGATATGTAACTGTAACCCCTCTGTACAACACTTTTACAATATAATTTAAAATTTAAAAAGATAGTATTACATTTCTTCCACAGTTAACAGACGATTACTAACAGTCAACTATCTCTCTTACTTTCTCCTTACACAGAGACAGTTTCTGCATCATATTCTTAGTAAGAGATACTAACGTGTCAGAGGTCCAAACAAAACCACATCCAGAGCCTTGAGCTGAAGTTTCTGTCTATGACTCCGGTCGTTGATTTTCAACTGAGAAATCATAAATGAAAGCTCATGCACTGCTATCCTGTTCATTTAAAACACATATACATGTTAAGTTAAAGTATTTCTAGTACATAAATTTAAATATTTAAACACCACATTAAATACTTTACATATTAATGATCACTGTTAAAAACTTCCTATTCAAAGATTCCTATATATTAATATTTTAGTTGTTATATTGATGGGTTACTTGTTTTGTTTTTGTTTTTTTTTGATTGGTTGTGGACCTGAACTCTGAGCCTAGGCGCTGTCCCTCAGCTCTTCAGCTCAAGGGGAGTGCTCCACTTGAGCCACAGTGCCACTTCCAGGTTTTTCTGCTTATGTGGTGCTGAGGAATCGAACCCAGGGCTTCATGCATGCAAAGCAAGCACTCTACCACTGAGCCACCTTCCCGGCCCCTTGATGGGTTACTTTTAAAGGTTACTTTCTACTATAACTTACTATGATTTAGAAATTTATAAAGTTGTATTTTATAATCATTAATTGATATTTTACTGTCATTTCATTCAAAAAAAACAAAACCAGGTGTAACTTATATTAACTTTAAATTTTTCTCAATTTAGGTCATGCCACATTTGTTTAAAAGTATCTAAAACATATCATTACATTCTAATATTCAGCCTGTTTGAAAAAGGAAAAGATATAAGTGGAAAGTATAAACCCTTTTGGGGTTGGAGTGGGTAAGTAGAAAGATTTATGTAGTAAGTAATAAGAAACATTCTATTAGCAAAAAAACAAAGTGCATAGGGAAACAAAGGTGGCTAAGGTAGTAAGATCACTTTGGGACTACAAATCAAAGCAACCTACTGTTCAACTAAGAGTTCTTAACCAAGTATGATGCTAGTAACAAGTTTATAATAAAAACCTAATAATACTAACAGAATTAACAATGACAAGGGCTTAATTAATAATCAAGAAAACCTTATAATGTATGTAACATCTCTAGTTTATCAATGAAGATATTTATCTGAGGTCAAAGTAACTTGCATCCAGAACTTGTCAGAGATAAAAATTCAAGTCCACATACGCATTATCCCAAATACTACAGTGAACCATTATATTTTTTTAACAAGATATGGGGCCAAGGGCTGGTGGCTTAAGCATGTAATCCTACTCAGAAGGTTCAGATCTGAAGATTGTGGCTTGAAGCCAGCCCAGGCAGGAAAATCCATGAGACTCCAATTAACTACCAAAAATAAGCTGGAAACGGAACTATGGCTCAAGCAGTAGAGTGCTAGCCTTGAGCAAAACAGCTCAGGGACAATACCTAGGTCCTGAGTTTAAGCCCCAGACAGCACAAGAAAAGAAGAAAAGGAAAGAGAGAAAACGAAAAGAAAATGAAAGAAAAGAGAGTGAAAGAAAAAAGAAAAGGAAAAAGAAACAAAGAAAGAGGGAGGGAAGAAAGGAGGAAGAGGGGGAGGTAAAGATATGTGTACTTCTCAGTGTGAAAGATTACAGAAACTCTGATGGGTCTTCTAAAAAACTTGAGAATGCAATAACTCTACTTTCCATTTTTTAAAATGCCCTTTAGATCATCACTGCCATACAAAAGTACTTTTACTATTTTTCCTTCCATTCCATTCAAAAAAGCTCTAGTGGGATGACCTGAAAATGTCTACATTCATCACTTTTTTCCATAGATGCATTCATTATTTTAAAAATTTGATCTTGATAAGTATGTGATTATTGTCTCTATAATTTTAAAACAGAATTTCAGGTATCTCTAATAACCCTTACGTAGCCAAAAAAAAAGTAGTTATAACTTTAAACATGAATCCACCTAGTTTCCCAAAAGACAATATTAAAAACCATGAATTCTTCATATCCAGAGTAAAATATATATATATATATATACATATATATATATATATAAATTTAAAAAGCCTAATCTCATTTTAATGCTCTAACCTGACTTAACCTAGAAACTTGTTTCATTTAAAATAATAATCTGTTTTATTTAAATTGTTTCTAGCACTTATTTGCACCATCCACATAAAAGATACTTAGTATTTGATGAATTAACTTTAATCCTCATAATTTCACATCATTCTACTCATGTATAAACAAATTAAAAATACAGATTTTTTACTGAGAATATATCTTAACAAATATAACAACTTCCCACCTAATGTGAAAAATACAAATCTCAAAGTAATAAATGCTGTTTATTTCAACCAGACATGTAAGCAAAGTTACAAAGTATATAATGCAATTATTTCATCACATACAGTAAATATACTGAAATAAGAGATAAGAATCTCTTCTGATGAAGGAATCAATTTGGTAAAAAATGGAACATAGGTTCTGGTAGAGACATTAAAAATTTTCCATTTAAATCTTTGAAGATTATTATATTAATTAATTAAGTTTTTGAATATATAATTTAAGAAACTAGCAACTGGCTCCAAATACTTAAGGAATCATTAAACAACCTGGGCTTTGATTGTAGATCTGTTTGTGTTTAAATGCTACTTTAGGCAAAATAAATATTTAACTTGTATCTTACCTTTCTTTTTGGCCTATAATGGTTGATGACAATATATACCTCATTTTAATCATGTAGATTAGATGAAATAAGGTCCTTCTACGTAATATATATTTTAAAATAACTGTTAACTATTTTTTTAGAAAATTTAATTTTTAACTGAAATATAAATTTGTAGCCACTATCAGTAGTTATCATTAAAGGAACACCTATTATGAAAGATATGTATATTAATCCATTCAAATAAGAATCTTTATTAAAATGATCAATATCAAATAAATTTTCCTTATTCTAAGTAGTCAAAGGTTGACCCTTTGATGCTTATCTATAAATAATATACATAAATAATATATCTATAAATAATATACTTGACCCTCTCTAAAATTATTCTCCTTGAGAACAAGAGATTTTTTTCTGTTGTTTTATTTTGTTTGTTTGGGGGAGGGGGGGGCCTGAAGCTTAAACTCTAAGTCTGAGCACTATCCCTGAGCAAAGAGCTCAAATCTAGTGCTCTATCACTTTGAGCACAGAGCCACTTCTGGTTTTCTGGTGGATAACTGGAGATAAGAGGCTCATGGACTTTCATGCACAGCTGGCTTTTGAATTGTGATTCTTAGGTCAGAACCTTCAGAGTAGCCAGGATTAAAAGTGTGAGCCACCAGCTGCCAGTGAGAAGAAAGTTTTAAAGCAGTTGGTTACTTAGAAAAGAAAAACATGAGAGGCTTAGCATATAGTTCAGTGGTAGAGCACTTGACTAACATATGCAATGCCCTGGGTTAGATGCTCAGCACTACAAATAAAGTAAAATAAAATTTTATAAAACTTGGTCATACACATCTTAAAAATATTTAAGAATGGATATATTTATAATATTTTCTTTGTACCGTTAGCCACAGAAGTAACAAAGACTCACCTGGGAAGTGTTGTTCCTTTGACATTATTGTCTCTAAAATTCTTTTCATATTGTGGAAGTTCAACAAATTCTATCAACCACTGAAGGGTATCTTCAAGGGTCCAATTATGAACTACAAGATATTAAGAGAAATATGTATATTGTAAATACAATGCTTTCAAAATCTGTGCATTTGCTGTAAAGATGTTGAATTCAGTTTTTATTCAATTTAATCAACAGAAAGTATTAAAAAGAATATTTAGCACTCTATGCAGAGAAGCAAAAAAAAAAAAAAATTAAAGAAAAACCTTTTATCCGTAAAGGCTTACAAGCTAAAACAAATATATATATACATATATATAATATATGACAAATATTAGCATGACTAGTTCTAAAATAAGCACCTATATACAAAGTTTGTACAGAATAAAATAACCCATCACTTCCCTGGTTGTAGAAAATTTAACAGTTATAACTTGTGAATTCCTTCACCTAACCATCCACTCATATAATACTGTGATAAACCTTCTGAATGTCAGGTTGTAGTGTAACCACTGAGGCCACTGGCACCAAACAAGATGGATATTTGTCCAAGTAGAACTTAAGTTTCTCTGGCAAAGGTGCAGTTGGGACAACTTAGAAAAGAAGCAAGTAGATGGGGGAAAATTTTAGATAATGATTAGCTATAAAGAAGAAAGAAAAGATGTCAAGGTAAGCATCACTGAAGAGTTAACATCTGAACTGAGACCTAAAAATTGCTGGGCACCACAATCCAAAGGTCTAAGAAAAACATCCTAATTGGAGAAGAAAGCTAACATGAAAGACTTAAGATATGAATAGACTAAATGTGTTTAACAGGCAAGTTGGAAAATCAAAGAGGGGCTAAGTTATTAAAGTCTTTTTAATTTCAATAAAAAGGAAAATTGAATAGTCTGTAAAATACATCTCTTATATACAAAGAAGTGCTAATATGGAAACCATGACAAAATAAAGCCAATGAGACCAAGAGAGTAAGTAGTAGAACTCGATTAGAAGACAGGCAAACTGGCCACAAAACGAAACACTATACTTCTCTGAAAGCATTAATACTAAATAATAGTAACGAGATAAACAAGTAGTTAAAACACTGGGAGCAATTCAGATGCCTTTGCTTGCCTATAGAGTAGAAAGGACAATCATGAGTTAATCTAATGGGAATTCGCCAAGTGTGTTCAAAAAGTGAAGAGTTATATTTTTAACTCTCCATTTAATTTGAGGATTTGGGAAATCAAAATTGCCTACAGACCAAACAAGAAAATAAATGACAATAACATAATGAAGAAAATAAGTAAGAAAGAAAAGAAGAACTGGAAGTCTATCTGTATAAACTAATCTAAGAAAATAACTTGTTTTTTAACTACAGAGAATGAATTCACATTTGCAAACAAAGCTAGGTTTCCCCTCTGCCTTTTTCATTATGTGTTCTTTAGAAAGAAAAAGTAACAACAAATAGTTAATTTTAAAAACTCATTAAAACTGTATGATAATTTAAAATTAAGTGATATTATATTGGGCCAAAACTTTGATTATTTGTCTTACTGTTCCCTCCCTTCAGGTGTCCCTGTCATAGAGCTTGGATATGAGCCTAATGCTGCAGTATTTAACCAAATAAATGAGGCTAGCAGCCAAAAGCTCAGGCCTGGGTGCTTTCCACTGAATCTAATACATTCAAAGTAGCCTTTGTATGCTTACGTTTCTTCCTATCCAAGATGCACTGCTTTGAGAATTGCCTTATCTTGACTGCCAAGAAACCCATAGCACAGCTGCACCACACACACCCACACGAAATGCTCAGCCAAAAAAACAGGATATGGTTCTCTCCGTGTCTGATTGTTCAACAGTAACAGGCCATGATCTAAACACTACAGCACATCAAAATATTTTTCATTTGCAATGAGAGTATAGAAAGGAAGAAAAATCAAGTGTGAAGGAATGCATATTTAAAATGTACAAGTCCTAGTATTATTCTACCTAAAAAACAAAACATTGTGGTGTTCTAAAGATGTTTCATTTAAAATTAATACTTAAAGCAAGATTCTAACACAGAACTTGGAGGAAGCTTGAGTCTTCTTTTTCTATCTGATGTCTCTGGTGGGGTCTGTTGAACACCTTCTCTTCTGATGACCAGGACTTGCATATTGTATTAGCTTCATCTGGTCCACATATTCTAGTTGTCTTTCAACTCTTAGAACAGATTATACTCTCACTCCTTCCTTCCCTACATTGTAAAGAACATTTTTTTAAAAATACCATGTCCTGCCGGGCACTGGTGGCTCACGCCTGTAATCCTAGCTACTCAGAAGGCTGAGATCTGAGGATCATGGTTCAAAGCCAGCCCGGGCAGGAGAGACCGTGAGACTCCTATCTCCAATAGACCACCAGAAAACTGGAAGTGGCGCTGTAGCTCAAATGGTAGAGCACTCGCCTTGAGCTGAAGAGCTGAGGGACAGCGCCCAGGCCCAGAGTTCAGGCCCCACGACGGACCAAAAAAAAAAAAAAAATACCATGTCCTTCTGTGCCTGCTTTCTGGTGGGTATGCTGCAAACTAACAACACATTAAGACTCATACACAATGCTTCTTCAGAGGAAATCATTTTCTTCTATCCCTCCCTCATCTCTGCCTACTTTATGCTATTGAACTCCACACCTCAGCTAAAATTGCAATCAGAAGGAAGCTTTCTTTTTTTATTTTTTTTGGTCCGGTAGTGGGCCCTGAACTCTGGGCCTGGGCGCTGTCCCTCAGCTCTTCAGCTCAAGGCTAGCGCTCTACCACTTGAGCCACAGCGCCACTTCCGGCTTTTTTCTTTTTGCTTATGTGGTGCTGAGGAATCGAACCCAGGGCCTCAGGCATGCAAGGCAAGCGCTCTACCACTGAGCCACCTTCCCAGCACAGAAGGAAGCTTTCTTAACATAGTTAATATGACCATAAATCATTCTGTACTTTTACACAAAGAATTTAACTATAATTATTACTAGGATTATTCTTTCAATATCTATTTATTCCAGAAAAAGAAGTAGAAGTTTCTTGTTCACCATTCTAGCCATAGTAGACAGTACTCAGAAGATACATCAACAAATTGTTAGGTACTATTGCATAAAAGAGGCAGGACCTGTTTAACTGACAAGTACTATGAAAATCCATTTTTGCATTTTAGTGAAGAGATTAAAAGAAAACATAAGCAAGCATTATGTACATAAGAAATTCTTGATGGCAAAGGAGTTATTCATTTAGAAATTATCTGGTTTTCCACTGCCATATCTGATTAGTTTTTTACATGTGTTGACAATTTGTAGCATACCCAGCAGAGGGCAGGCACAGAGGGAAAAGCTTTTTTTAAACATGTACTTTACAATTTAAAGAGCTATTGTTTTTATTTGAAATTGTGGCCAGTGTTTGAAGTTCATGTCTCAGAATGATTTGGGCAATTTAGTCCAAAGCTAGAAGAAAAAAAAAAAAAAGTGGAAAGAGACCTGTTTCAGTCCCAGCTGAGCCACTTTCACCATAATAACATCAGAACCAGGTTATTTAATTCTGGCTCCTTTTCCTACCCAATAATAATAATAATAATAATAATGAAAATGAACTAGACCACCTTTAAAATTAATTCAAATTCTGTTTTTAATAATTCCACTATAATAAGAGAGTTGGTATTTGAAGCATGTAAATTAACTGGTTAACTTACACCAGTGGAATATACTTAGGGAAATACTTACAGGTACTCTAAGAACTCTTTGAGGATAGCAATAATAACTTCCCAATATTTACTAACTACAAGATTTCTTAATAGTCAATAGTCAGCTCAACAACTTTCAATATGGCACTTTTATTTTTATGTTGATCTAAAAGTTGATGAAGGTAAAATTCTTAACTAGGCAAACAGATCTGTCGATGGCCAAATCGGTTTCAGATCAAACCTGTTTCTTCGATCATTGACCACTACACAGTGACACTGCTTTAGGTCCTCACAAACAGACCAGGCAGTTTTAATAATTTTTGGTCCACTTGTACCCGCAGCCATAAAAATGACTGTATTTCTCTATGCCCCATGCCAGTTTCAAACCGAGAGTGGTTTTCCATTCTTCCTTCCTCGCCAGGCTCTTTTCCTCCTTACTCTTTACAACTTGCATAAGGAACTCCTTCCTGTAGGAAGTTTTCCACCAACACTTTTCCACATTAAAGTTTCCTGTATTCTTCTTGTGCCTTCTGATTGGCTTAACATATACCTGCCATAAGATCTACAACATATAATGTAATTGTCCTTAGCCAATTTACCTTCTGATTGATAAGTTCCTAGAGTTCTCACTCAGAAGTGAGAAGCAGTACTTTTTCACTTAACATTTACCATTTACACTAAAAAGCCACACACCTTTAGTACAGAGCTATAGTGGTTAATAACGATTATCAATTTAATTAAACTGAGAATTCTCCTTCTCATCCTCCCTAGCCCTTTCAATTTCTGTAAAAAGAAATGAAGTTCCTTATTCTGTACCAAACAATGGCACTTTCTTCCACAATTCTACTGTCAGCCCCTGCCACTTTGTTGGACTGAAGAAAACTGGCCTAAGAAGTAAAAGCTTTTTGACAACAAAGGGGTGTTACTAATGAAAATGAAGAGACAGAAATAGATAGATATAGCCATTAGTTGAGAGGCAAGGAAACTGGTGATCCTGTGACTACCCGGATAAAGCAGCCTTTTAAAAAAAGATATGAGTCATGTAGGGACACATCAGTTGTACAACTAGGTTATAACTAGATGAAATGCTCTGGAAGAAAGTGATCCCTTCCCAGAATTTCTATAGCACTGTTTCTACCAAATGACATGTCATAGGAGCTTCCTTATTTTCTATCTGCTTACATACATTCTTACTATAGTGAGCTTTCATAAGACAAGTATTACTTCACCCGGTATAGAGCTACCATTTAAGTATTAGCTGAACATATATTTTTTTCCTTCCTTAAAACAGAAACAGTTTTGTTTCTACTTGAGTGTCTATTAACTATCCCACAGTTGCATGAAAATACTATTTTCAGAGCTTCCTATTTTGAAGCAGCACTGATCAATCCTTGGATCCACAACAGCATCACAGAAACCT